TGCGAGTTTCCTCTTTTGCAAATCAAATCTTAATTTGTAAAACAAAAATAAGTTTTATGGCATATTATTCTTAGAGACCTTATAATATGATGAAAGATGCCCGATTTTGTTTTTAGAAGACTCTAACTAGATTACATCTTAATTGGAAAGGCAAAACTAGTTTATTTAAAACATTTTCACATTTTCTATTTTTTGAATATTTTTTTTTGATTTTTTGTCGAAAGAACAGTTCTACACATTTTAAATTACTTTTATCAGATATTTCTGGAAGTAAAATGTATTTTTCGTTCAAATAAAACGAATTCAACAATCAAACATTTCATCACAAACATATCTTCTATTCTCTAAAAAATATCAAGTTAAACGAAGTCTTTTTCTTCTTTTTGTAACTAAGAAGATATCGATACAATGAAATAGACAAAAAACAGTCATGAGATATTTTGCATTATTATTATTATTTTCCAATTATTACGCTTAGAAAAAACGTCTACCATTAAAAATAAAAGAAACCAATGTAAAGACATAAAAATTTCAAAAGAGAAAATGAATTTTGCTTGGCATATAATATATGAAAGAAGTACATTTTTCTTCTTACTGGTTATTAACTCGAGAGCTCAGAGTGATAAAAGTATCAAGCGTTTTTGTTGCATGTGTTATCATTATAAGAGAAAAAGTTTTGATAGTTGACAGATAAGAAATAAAAACGTAAATATTTTTTCGTTTCACAGAACGACAATACAATACCATCTATTATTAAATTTAACTTGTCTCAAGAACTGTCATTCAATCGTACAAAGCTCATTTTGTACTCTCTACCGTTTTTTACCATAATGAAAACTATTTATTTGCTCTTATAGATAAATCTATCAAAGTTATATTCAATGAAATAGCAAAATACAATGAAAAATAAGAAGAGAAAATTCTATGATATGCAAATTGATACGAACAAGTCTAATAAACATCTGTCTGACAACTCATCTAGTCTCTTCGATCTATCCACAATCCCTTTAGTTTGTTACCAGCATATTTTTCAATATTTACCTATTCAGTCTTTGATTTCAGTTTCACGAAGGTGTAAAACATGGTATAATATATTGTGTTCAAATAAACTCTGTTATAATAAAAATACCAAATTAACATTATTAAATGAAAATCAACTGATTAGTGTTTCGAATTCAAAATCTTACGTCATATTAATAAAATTGAAATTGGTCAATATGAACGTAGATTATCAATAAATAAATCAATTAATTTTCAATTTTATTTTACTTCATTACCAGGGTTGTCGATTGTTTTCAGGAGTGGGGGGGGGATAAAATTTTGGCAGAAAATGCTTCTATTCCTTCAAAAATAGTGAAAATTTCCCAGAAAATATTAAATATTTTTCGCAGAAAGTGTTAAAAATTTTGGCAGACAGCCTAGCATTTTAGGGAGGGGAAATCCCCCCATCCCCCCCTAATCGGCAAGCCTGTTCATTACATTCTCTTAAATTATGTTTTATTTCATTAAGTCCTGTATTTATAGCGAACCTATTTAAATCTATTTCCCAAACATTACAAAAATTAATTTTAGTTATGCAACCTTACAGAATATCGAATTTAAATAGAGAACTTTTCGATCCAATGACTTCGTGTCTCGTCGTTTTATCATCATTATATCTTCTTCCCAATTTAACATATTTTTTTATTCTTGTTACATCAAATACAAAAATTGAATTTGATATTAATAAATATTTTAAACATTTAACAAAATTAGAAAAATTAATTATTCGTCAAGATAATTATACATGTAAAAGAAGTAGAAATCAACAGTTAAATTCAATTCAATATCTTTCTAATTTAAAATATTTAGAATGGTTTGAAATCTTATCTAATGATTTAAGAATTTTATCATCAATTTCACATCTACCTCAATTACAATATATTCATCTTCAACATACGTTGATTACAAATGAAATATTATATTATTTAAGTAAAATATCAACAATTAATTCATTAAAATCACATCGATTTTCACCTATAAAAAGTAAACTAAATATAGATAGTTTCAATTATTTACTATCATTAAAAGAAACATTGAAAGAATTAGAAATAAGTGCTAAAAATATTAACTATGATGAATTAGTGATGATACAATATCCTACAGAAGCTGATTGTATGCCAGATGAATATGAAGTACATTTAAATTTCGAACATATTAATATTTTAAAACAATTTATATATCTTAAAACTCTATCATTCAATAAAATAAGTATAACAAGAGAAAATTTAGACAATTTATTAATTAATTTAGTTCATTATAATAATTTAAAAATCTTAAACTTAGAATCGATTTTTTTTCCATCATTTACAGTTATATCAACAATTCATAGCTTAGAAGAATTATCATTGTCATATCCATACAACAACAATAGAGAAGAATATACAGATAAAGATTTATTTATATTAAATTCATTGAAAAACGTAAAAGTATTAATATTATGTCGTAGTATCAATTTATCAAAAACAATAAGAAAACAATTAAAAGATAAAACATTGAACATACCACAATCGACTACTCGTTGTAATTTAACATTTGAACATTTAGAAGAGTTTATTTATAACAATGATGATGATGATGATGATGATGAAAGTGATTGTGAAGGGGAAAATGCGATGATCGACAATGCATGAAAGATTAACACCAGTTCAATTAAAATAAATTCTTTTTTTTTGTCGAAGATTTTATATTTACAGTAGTATTTTTTGCGTCCCAATGACTTTGTTTATCGTATCTCGCAATAATTGTTTTCTACTCGACGATTTCATACTTTCAAAACTATTGAAGTACTCTTTAGTTATGAAGGTGTGGGTGTGGGTGATCGAAATTCTTCGGAAAACGACTGCTTGATAGTCACTCGCACATTAATATTAGCATGAATGGCAAGTTTCACTGTTGGTAGAACGAACAACAACGGATATTTCATATTTCTTGTTGATTTTCTAAAGAAACAGACAGAATACTGCTACCTAAATAAATTATTATACCGATTTCTCTCTGTCTTATTTCTGATAAGTTTTGTCAGTATTTAAGTATAGCTACGATATGTTGTGCATCATTCTTAATGGTATAACGAAATCAGATGTTAGTCTTTGTTCTTTTATCCAACTTGTACGCTAGTTATGTAGTTGAAATTAACATATTTCTTTAAGAAAACTAAAGAGTTTTAACATTTATTAAAAGAAGATTTACTGTCTTCATTCATCAAAGAAAGAAGAAAAAAAGTAAAACATGTAGCAATTCAAATTAATTTTGTCTACACAAACTTATTAGACATGATAAAAATACAGAAAAGCATCTGTTGTATCGATGGTATCATGTAAAGATGTCAAATATTTCATGACTTTGCAATGGAAACAATGCTAAGTATTTTTGCTTTTACTAAGGGCAAATTTCAAATCGAGTATATGTTAGTAATATAAAGATTCATACTCTTACTTTGCCACTGCAGGTTACTAAATGGTGCTCAGTAATATTTACAATGGCATCTAGTCGCCTTACTTCGTTACTAACAATAGCACTGAGACGTTAGAATATATAGACTATTGAAACTCACACCTACACTTACATCTACATGTACACAGATACACATATCCCATATTCACACACAGTCACATTGACTTAGGATGAAACATATTGCGTTACCCACTCTCAGCGTTTTATCAGTCATGAAATTGGTCCAGGTAATTAAGACAAGTGACTAGTTCTGCACAAAGTTTTTCAACAATAGCAGCTTGCTTCGCTCAAACTTCGAGGTTCTGTCTCACTTAGAGTGTTTCTCTAATGCAGCTGGAAGAACTGAAAATTCCGAGTTAAAAGCTTTTTATATGACTTGTTTCTAACTGTAATGAAATCAACCGAAAACTAAACGCTTGAGTATTGTTCAAATAGTTGATGCTGTGTAAATGCATCAACAGATTTTACTTTAGATGAAAATAAATAAATCTTAGCTGCTCACTGAACCATTGTACGGCATAATCATGCATTTTGCTTCGATTCTGGATAAGAATTTTCTTCTCAAAAAATCAAGAGATAATCAATTTTCGATCAAGTAAACACCAATCTAATAAAATAGACGCAATATACTACACTAATACTATTTTGCAATGGAACACTAATGGTTCTAAACGAGCCTTAAGTCCATAAGAATGTGGACGTGTATGTAGATCAGGATGTGACTAAGGGTGGGTTGGGAATTTAAAAAAAAGACTCACTCATACCCAAACCCATCCATAGGCAATTATCTAGCACATTTTCTGTCGCGGTTTTTATACTGAATAGGAAAGACTTCTAAAGACGAAAAGAGAAGACAAAGCAAATTTCAATGTAGACAAAAGAGGACGAAACGTTTAGTAACACTGTATACAATCATGTCATACTACAACCGTGTTTATCTTTAGGAGGGCAAGAGCAACTTTTTATTTGGCAGTGACAGCTTTTCAAAAAACCATCAAGTATCTTTCACGCAATATTGCTTCCAACAAATCCATCTGTTGCCACAGGCGATCAAAAGACTTGGTATGTATAGTGTAAACTCAAATAGTGCCATCTACCATCTTGAAAAATCGCTTTGGCAAAAGATACTCATTGTACGTCGGAAGGTGCTTTTGCAAGTTTACGTTAATGCATTAGCACGTATCACATCTACAATAGTCATACAATTCATAGTATCAGAAAAACTGTAGCACACCTCGTTTCCCATCAATGTTTAGAAAGCAAGAGATGGGACATCACTTTATGAATCACGAAGCAACATTTTAGCAATGTTATTCATTAATGAACTATGCGCTACGTTCATTACGGTATTTTGATAGTCTCGATGATTGTATGGCAAATTCGATTACAAGCATATTTGTAATATCAAACCTTGTCGATTATCAAAGCAAAGATATACAGAATGACGATGTTAATCAATTATTTCAATATTCTACCAACATCCAAGTTTATTGAAATTTATGACGACTTGAGTTTATTTCAACTTAGAAATGATACAAAATCAATGTAAAAACAAACACACTCTTGAAAAAAAGGTATATTATTTTATTCTCATTCGTGAAAAGAGCTTTCATGATTCACTAAATGTGAATGTTGAAGAAGCTGAAAGAGAGACTGCTTCACTAATCTTTGAGATTGATTAAATGAAACTGGATGGACTGAGGAAGATGCCGAGACAGGTTGTGTAGTAGAATTTGATTCTTGACAACAAATACGATTCCATAGGTTTTTACAACAGTCGCAGACCCAATACCACGGGTACCCTTTATACTCATTACAAAAAGTAGAGCAACAACAACTATGACATTTATGACAACATTTTGTTAGGCAGCAACATCATTCAAATTGACATATCGTCTCATCAGAACAGCAGAGACATGAGCATTGTAAGCAACATGAACTCCACAATACCTAACCCCAGCCAATCAATATCATTATAATGATGACTACGAAAATGACGAGCGTCAATTGAGACGGTCCTTCTGACAATGTATACCAGATAATCAGTCCTAGCTCTGTAAAAGCTATTGCTGAAAGGATAATGTATAGACAACTTAGACAACGGTAATGTGGGTGTATGACTTCTCTGTCACGTAACCGACACCCACACACTTTGTATAAATCTTCATTGAGAATAGATAAAGATCGAACAAATTTTGAAATTGTTTCGGGACCGATGGAATAAAGTGACCTTTTATTGTGAAAATGTTATTGATTGTATTCAACAATGTAAGTCGCATATTCTTTCTTTCACTTGCTTGATTAATATGATGAATGAATTCTGACACAACTTGTGATAGAAACAACTACAAATATGTAACAATTTAAAAGTAACTTGAGTTTCTCTTGCAATGCAACGAAATGAGAAACTAAACAGATACAACATTAGTTGATTTCTGATTGGATACATTTTTGTGGCAAATTTATAATGAAATCATCTGAGTTCGTGGAGCAGGTTGAGCTATTTTACAAAAAAATCATATACATACAATTAATAAATATGATCAATTATCATGAACAACTTGTTGAACAAGTAGGCATGCAATTATATTAATCTTGAGTCTTTTCTTGCGTATTACAGTCCAAATTCGTATAACGTAGTCTTCATCAAGGAGGTGTGTGTGGGTGTAGATCTTCTCTTCACCAACAGCCATACCCTCTCTAGTGTAAATACTAGAAGACGTGACAGTTCTTTTGATATCCACCAAATCTTGAAAAGCTCTTATTTTGATAATTTTTCATGGAAAACAAAATCGTACTAATAGTGAATGAATTTAACTGATACTAAGAATTGTTTGCAAAACTGATTTGAAATATAGAATCATCCACCCATGGAGTAAAATATTGAAGGGAACGGACCGCGTAACGCGTTTCCGAGATTGTAGCATGCGTTTCGCAACGTTTTTTCAATACAGGACGCGTTTCGCAGCATTCTTACTTATATAAAATGCGTTTTGCCACCGTCGTTTTTAGAAACGATCCGAAACGCTTTTTTCAAGATTGCGTTTCGAGGCGTTTCCGAATTCAAATGTTGTCGAACACACTTTGGTCGACAGATGACGCGTTTCACAGGTGCAAATTGAGGGAAAGATGGAACGCGTTCCTTTTTCAAATACATGTTGGATTGTTTTTGCTTGGAATGATGCACAATATATCCGTTCTGCATACAGAATCTTGCAGAAATTCACTAACACAAAGCATATGAGTTAACCAAAGTAAATTCTTTAAAATTACTTTGGAAATGATATGAAATAGCACTTAAAGTTTTGCTCCTTGCACTATTTTTACGTGAAAATCATGACCAAGGATTTTATGAAGGCAAGACTAAAATCAAAGTCTTCTAAATTTTTAGGCTGCTAGGCTGTTATCTCGACTTATTTTGAAGTTAGACTAATGTAAAACATCAAAGTGTAACAAAAATATATTCTGCTTACTTAAAAACTCATTTCACCACGTTTTTATTGAAAGAAAACATGTTTCGTAAGGTTTACTTAAGAATCGTTTTAAATATTGAGCATTTCGAAAAGATTTAGTAAAGATTGATACTAATATAATTAGTACAGTAACTCTCTTTGGTTATTTGTGAACAAAATAATTATCACGTTATCTATAATTTGAATAATTATTAGTATGAGTTCATACACGAACGAATTGATAATGAATAATGATACTGTGTACAATACTAGTAAACATGATTTTAGTTTGTACATTGTTGAAGTAAGAGTGACTTTTTAATAAAAGAGATTCGACTTACAAAAGAAAACTCCCTTCATTTATTGATGTAATTGGAGAAAACGATGGCAGATTTACATTTACAAAAATCTATTAAATCAAGAAAATAAATAAAAGATTAAATTTTAAATTTTTTAAAACTTATATATAAGAAATTTAATTTTTTAAATATTAAATATAATTTAAATCGATTAAATTCGGTTCTATTGAGTATCTAAATTTAAATCTGAAAGAGTTTAAATAAAAAATGTATCAAGAAAAGACTACATTAATTGGACATGGGCACCAAAGAAATAATAATTTTCAATTCAGTAGAATGGAAACTGAAAATCTAATTAAGTTTACGCGAGGCTCTAAATGACAGTAGAATAAACATTTATATCATCAGATTATTTTAGTTGAACGG